TGATTCTAGCACCCTGGCTACCCAAATGTCAATACTTGCCAAGCAAGATTACCAGGGCACACCTTAGCCAAACTAGTTAGGTTTTTATAGACTTCCCACAGAGAGACAGAATACTGAGGAACAGAGGGCAAAAATAAAGAGGGTCCATTGTATAGGATTTATATATGTGTGATGTAATCTTAAAGAGAATTCTTGAAAGCAAAGAAGCAGTATATTATTCTAGACTGAACTCTCCCAGAAAGGTGGGGGCAACTGATTGATTTTTTTATGAAGTGTTAAAAGTGAGGAATGTATGGCCATGTTTGCTGTTACTTAATACCTTTACTGGCTCTGAGGCATGATGGCAAGTGAAGACGAGGCAGCAGTCACACCCGGCCCTTGGCCGCTATGTCCAGGATAGACCCATAGGACCAAGGGCAGTTACTAGTTGGAAAGCATCAGTGATGCTTTTGTCTTTCACACAGTTATGTCTAGAAGGAAGATTCCTAAAGACAAGGATGTAAAATCACTGAAGCACCAGCTTCAAGGTACCTGACATTCATACATCTGCCATCTCTGACCCTACACAGCTATAAAGCAGTCAGTCCTCCATCCAGGACAGTTAAGTCTGAGTCCTTGGAATATCTAACAGAAGATAGTAGGACCAGTCAACAACAGTGGGAAGATGGGCAACAATATTATCCTCATAGAAATCAAAAACATACCAAGCAAATGTATCTTTTCAACTCTCCCTAGGACTTGATAGGGTTTGGCCTTTCCCTGGTGATCAGGGAAAACAATTGGAAAAAAAATGGTTTCTTTTTATTTTGTTTTAAAGATATATATATAGTTTTTAAAGATTTATTTATTGCTGGGTGGTGGTGACACAGGCTTTTAATCCCAGCACTTGGGAGGCAGAAGGGGGTGGATCTCTGTGAGTTCAAGGTCAGCCTGGTCTACAGAGTGAGTTCCAGGACAGCCAAAGTTACACAGAGAACCCTGTTTTGAAAAACTAAAACAAACAAAAAAAAACTATTAAATATACAATGTTATGACTGCATACCAGAAGAGGGCACCAGATTTCATTACAGATGGTTGTGGTTGCTGGGAATTGAACTCAGGACCTCTCAAAGACCAGCCAGTACTTTTAACCTCTGAGGCATCTCTCTAGCTGGGGTGGGGGTGGGGTGTTACAATGGATGGCTAAGTCAAAGATGCTATAACTTGCTGGGCAGTAGTGGCACATGCCTTTAGTTCCAGTACTCAGAAGGCAGAAGCAAGTGGATCTCTGTGAGTTTGAGGCCACCCTGGACTACAAAGTGAGTTCCACAATAGCCAGAGTGGTAACACAGAGAAAACCTGTCCAGCATCAGATTCCCTAGAACTGGAGTTACAGACAGTTGTGAACTGTCATGTGGATGCTGGGAATTGAATTCAGTCATTCTTGGGCTGGGAGTATGATTTATTGCTTAAGTGCATCCCATGATGTAACCCCAGTACTTCAAAACAAAGAAAAACAAACTTCTAAGCAGACAAACATCCTGTGGCCCAGATGAGCAAGACTGAGAAAGTTTGCTTCCTGAGTGCTGGGACTAAAGGTGTGTGCCACCAATGCCCGGCATGCCTGCACATTCTAAAGGCATCTACTCTGTAATAAATCCATGTATTCTTAAAACCTTTCCTAAAAGCATCTTGGTAGTAATTGCTGGTCTTGTTGTTACAACAAAATGCTCATCCAAGTACTTGCAGAAAGGGCTTATTTACAGTTACAGGCCCAGTGGGCACCATCCATCATGACAGGGAAGGCCAGGCAGCAGTATAAGGCCATTAGCTACACTGTGCCCAGTCAAGCACTGGGCCTGCTGGTATTCATGTCAGAAATTTATTTATTTAAAATGAACTTCACAAAAAGATAGTAAGAATCACAGGCACCATTGAGGAAGTGATAGTAAAAGACACTTGGACAGCTGTGCTTATCAAATCTCTACACCAGACGTTTGAGTTCAGACATTTCACACTGCATCACTGCTACCCAAATTCTCTAGTTGGGTCTCTGCCAATCAAATTCCATGAAGAATAGGTTCTAAGTTCATGCACTTTGTCCTCTCCTTAATGAAACCTGCCCATTTTGTATCTCACAACCATTACGTTTAGATATTACTGCAGAGTGTGATCCAGGCTAGATTAGAATATGAACAGATCAAAGTGGCTCTTTATTCTGGTTCATGGAAGGAGTACTCGAGCTAAAACATGACATTTAAATACCATACTATTGTAGCAGATGTTTTCTTTTCTTTTCTTTCCAGAGGGGCAGGGGGTGAGACAGGGTTTTTCTGTGGCTTTGGAGCCTGTCCTGGAACTAGCTCTTGTAGACTATGCTGGCCTCTAACTCACAGAGATCTGCCTGCTCTGCCTCCAGAGTGCTGGAATTAAAGGTGTGCACCACCAATGCCCAGCCTGTAGCAAGAGTTCTAAATGGTATCATTTGGTCCTATCCAAAGTTATAGATAGGGGACCTAACTGGGGTTTCCTTTTCTCCTAGTATCTCTTCAAGGACCAGCTACCCTTCCAATTCATGGTTGGTATTCTAGAGCTCCTGGAAATGGCTGGGATCCAGGATATCCTAGATCCATGTTACACCAGCCAGCAGCAGTTGGCAGCTAATTTTTTGGTACCTCCTTACTGGATCAAAGGCTTCCTACAGGCTGTGCAGTCCCACCTCGAGCTACCAAATAGTAATCATTCTAGAGCCCCTGTCCCCCCTCTCATTTGCTCTCCTGTATGCTTTTACCATCATGTCTCTTTTGGTAGTACTAGGGGGTTAAACTTGGGGCCTGGCAGATACCAGGCAAGCAAGCACTCTTATCACTGAGGAACACCAGGCCTTTAACTGTTTTTTTTTTTTTTTTTTTTTTTTTTTTTTTTGACTTACACTTCTGTCCTTAACTAAGGCTGTTTGCAGTACTTAGAGCTGTACCTATAGCAGTGGGTCCTCCTGGTGCTTCCATTGGTAAACAAATACAAACTCTGGTAAAAGTCCCCTTCTATAATACACAAATTAATCTTTTTTTTTTTTTTTTTTTTTTTTTTTTTTTTTTAAACCCAAGATAGGGTTTCAGTGTATAACAGCTCTGGCTGGCTGTCCTAGAACTCACTCTGTAGACCAGGCCGACCTCAAACTCAAAGACCCGCCTGTCTCTGCCTCCCAAGAGCTGGGATTAAAGGTGGCACCACCACTGCCTGGCTTGTAAATCTGATTTTGAGAAGGTTTTTAAAGATCACATCTGTGTGTGACAGGGGAGGAGTACCTTATGGAGGGCAGGACAACTTGCAGGCCTTGCTTCCCAACCTTCCTAATGCGCAATTCTTTAATGTAGTTCTCATGTTGTGACCACCAACCATAAAGTTATTTTTGTTGCTACTCTGTAACTGTAATTTTGCTACTGTTATGAATCATGATACAAATGCTTGATATGTGATCCCTATGAAAGAATCATTTGATTCCCAAAGGGGTCTCCACCCACAGGTTTAAAACTGCTGCTCTAAATCTTTGGTGAAGTCAGTTAACTTGTCCTTCAAGGAGGACTTAAGTTCTGCATACTTCCTGAACTTCCCTTAGTGAGTGCATACTTTCTCCCAAACTACCAACAGATATAAGGACAGTTTGACTGCTGCCTAGTGATTCCCAAACATTTTCTTTCCCTCTATCAAGCTTTTTCTATGAGAAGTCTTACTAGAAGGGAAGAAAAGAGAGAGAGGGAGAGAATGTGCTTGCACAAATGTGAGTGCTCAAGCCACCATCTCTGGCCTCTCTGGCCAAAAATGGCTCCAGAACATCTAAGGCAGGATTAAAACTATTGATTTATTCCTCTAAATAATGTTGTCCAGGCCAGGCATTGGTGGCACATGCCTTTAATCCCAGCACTCGGGAGGAAGAGGCAGGCAGATCTCTTTGAGTTCAAGGTCAGCCTGATCTACAGAGCTAGTTCCAGGACAGGCTCCCAAGCTACAGAGAAACTCTGTCTCAAAAAACCAAAAAAGTAATAATAATGTTGTCCAGGAGCCTACAAAATGGCTCAGTGGGTAAAAGCACTAGTCACAAAAGCCGGGAGCCATGTAAAAGTAGGAGAGGACTGATTCCACAAGTCATCCTCCAGCCTCCACATATCATAAGCAATGGGGAGTGAACACTCACACCCTAATAATAGGCATTTTTCCTTTGGAGCCGTTCTTCTCCTGAGAGTTCCTTCTCGATTTCTCTGTCTACTAAAAACTAAAGAAGACGTCTGCTGCTTTTCTGTTATCTTCCAGCTGGATTATTAATTATCTGGAACACAGTTCCTATTTTGCCCACCTAAATTCTGCCAGTGAGCTATGTCCCCAATCCTTGGCTCCCTATCTTGTAACAGGCAAATTATTACCTGAGAGTTAGTAAATGCCACACAGGTCCTCCTACAGTTTCAAAGTTGCCATCTGGCCAGTGAGAAGGCTCGTAGGTAAACGCACAGGCCACCGATCTCGACAACACCAGTATTTTAACTTTCCCCTCCTCCCCACCTTTTTTGTTTTTTTTCTAGGCAGCGTTTCTCCATGTAGCAGCCTTGTCTGTCCAGGAACTCACCTTGTAGACCAGGCTGGCCTCGAACTCACAGAGATCCGTCTGTTTCTGCCCCTGGAATGCTGGGATGAAAGGCGACTGCTACCACTACCCAGCTGACAACCCCAGTTCAATTCCTGAGTCATAACAGTGACCAAGTCCTCCAAGTTGTCTTCTCACCTCCACATGTGTCCTGTGAAATGTAATTCAACTTCTTTTTAAGCTGCAGGGCTTAAGCATGGGGTGGGGGAGGATGATGACTAAGATCCCACCGAACGTGACAGTGCTAGCATGCAGGAGAACAGCAAGTCAAAGCCAGGAGTGCACAGAGTCAGAGACCAGACATACATAGCAAGACTCTGTCTGAAACAATAAAGACACACTACATTAACAGTGCAAGGATATTTAAATAAGAAGGCACAAATCAACTTTCAAATGTTTTATTTTTAGTGTTTTAAACATTTTAATACAACAAAGATATAAAATAATATATATTAGTTAAATCTGGATTTAATTTAGAACCAGGTATTTACTTATATACAACACTGTGCTTCAAGGTATGGCTACCACAAGAATTTTCATATCTTCAAGTAACACTAGTTTCTCTGTGGACAGGGAGACTTTTAGGTAGAAATCTCAAAACTAAAGAAGCCTGGTTTCGTCTAGCATACTGCTTCTCCACTGAGTACCAGCTTCACTTCCTTTGTTCATATCACAGAAACATTTCATTGTCCTACCAACCATGAATTCTTCAAATGAAAAGGTATTAAAGTTAAACATTTTAAAGATGTTAATAGCAGGCTGTTTAGTTCTTCAGAAAATCCAGTAGTTCAGATTACAAGAGATGTGAAATAACAATGAAAAACAAAAGACCAAAACAACTCCATAATATTCCCTCTCCTGTCAAAGCACAAAGCTTCCTTATGCCAAGACAAGAAAAACAGTGAATAAAGAGTTCTTTGATTCACATACAGTAGAATGTGTCTCAAAAACAACTTAATGTAGCTGGAGAAACAGCTCAGAGTTCATAGATATTTGTGCTGAACTTGATACAATAATTTATCACATTAGTTTTGTGAAATTAGTGCCACTGACTTGACAGGCAAACCGACACCTCCTTCTACAATAATTTATTCATGTAAAGCTATTCACCATGAGAAGAAACAAACAGATCCCTTCTTTTCCCATGGGTCAGCTGAAGCTGTCTGAGCTTTACAGGGATCTAACAATCCCCAGCTTCGGAGGTATAGGGGCGACTGAGGCCAAGTTCACTTCTGAATAAACATCAACTGTCCAAACTGTCATGGAAAATTGTCATGAAAACTGACATGCTTTGGTGGCTTTCACTGTATGAAGAAAAGCAAGTAAACTACTCTAAAGAATTTTCTTGTCTCTAAAGTCTGAGATGGTAAGGCTGACAGGTAGCTCACTAGACCATCACTGCTTTCACTATGGACTCCCTGTCTACAAGACTACCAAATCAGTAAGTATATTAAACCAGAGTCTAAATCATGAATGCCAGAAGCATCCTTAAGCACTGTGGGTCTAGAATCTTTAAGTGCTAAAACTGCTTCTTGCTGAATATAACAAAACAGGTTTATGTTATGATTTTGAATTTAATACCAGCATGGGAGGCAAAGACAGGTAGATCCCTGAGTTCAAGGCTAGCCTGATCTACACACTGAATTCCAGGACGGCCCAGGCTACACAGAGAAACCTTGTCTCAAAAAACAAAATAAAACAAACACAACAAAAAAGGTTTTGTACAAATGTTCCTAAAATAGACTGTTTCTTTTCTGCTATAAAAGGATTTCACTCCTCTGTTCTCCACGTATAAATTACAGATTTTTGCGAATTCTCAGTCACAACACAGGCAGCTAGAGTAGGGCTACCACTGCTCCTGGCAGTAGTTTTTCTTGGTTGGAAGACTATTAACATGCAGAGCCAGCATATAAAAGTAGTATTTTTCATAGCAATTCTGCTCAGAGAAAACTGGAGGATAACCTCATTGGGAATTGCAACACAGACAAAAAGGGTTTCTGCCAAAGTATGTGGTGATGACTGCAAGCTAATCCGCCTTAAAACCTGGTTCCTCTCAGTCTAGCATTGGTGGTACATACATGCCTTCAGTCCCAGCACTTGGGAGGCAGAGGCAGGGGGATCTCTGTGAGTTCGAGGCCAGCCTGGTCTACAGAGTGAGTTCCAAAGACAGGCTTCAAAGCCAGAGAGAAACCCTGTCTTGAAAAACCAAAAACCAAACAAACAAAAAAACCTCATTGCTCTCTTAACCACTTTTCAAAAAGACATTCTGCCTTGCCCCATAAAAGCACAGAGAGCCGAGGATGTAGCTTAACAGCAGAGCACTTGCTTGGCACACACACAGCCCCAGGTTGAACACCACAGGGAGGGCAACAATACTGTTTCTAGAACACAGGCAATCCAACCAGGACTTCCCGCAGAACCCCTACTTTGCATCCCCAAACTCAAGCCCTTTCTTTCCTTCTGTACTAAGCTGTCAAGGATGAAAGCCTTGTACAACTGCAGGATCAAACACAAGGTTCAAAAAAGCATGGAGCCTCTCCCTCCAACCATAGCATGCCCAAAATGTAAACATAAATTTTATCTTCATTACAGTTAGATTTCAACAAGAGGAAAGGTGTGAAGTCAAAACCTGAAAAATAATTTTGTCTCAGTTTTGAGACTTGAAGATGATTAACTCACGTAAACCCTGTCTCATAATAGCTAATAGGTTATAATCCAGCTTACCTTTTCCTTAAAACAAATGGGAGTAACTGCAAGGCCACTCACAATCCACACTGTAGGCTGCTGCCAGGCACTCACCACCAATACTGCACAAAGCTAGCGGCATTTACTTTCCTGTTTTGCTCGATAATAGAATCCACATGGAGGAGAGAAGCCTGATGTTAAGACATTCACCATTAATGTAGTGAACATTTAAAAACTAAGGTTGATACAGATGTTTCTGGAACAGTCTCCCAAAAGCCAATACTAGCTTCCCCTAGATAAGTTGGGTCCTGCTATGTCAGGGGTGGGGGTGTTAAAGAGGAGGGGCAGTAATGGCCTTTGACTTCAAGTTAAACCACTCAAGCAAGCACAAAAAAACCTTCACTCCATGATTATGTAATTTCTTTACATGAGATATTGGTGTTTTTGATCCTGGCTTGTAACAGAATCAATACTTTAAAATACTATAAGATTCTGAAGTATAAGATTTTAAAGACATAATAAACTTGAGTTGCCTCACATCATTTCTCAATGATGTTTCCAGCAGACTCAGGTTGTACAGCATGGGCTGAAATCTGCTTGCCTAATCTCCCCTTCCTGCCTAATTCACTCCTGTAGCTTCAGGGAGGGTGGGACTATGATTCCAACTACAATAATAAGCATTTCACCCAAACAGAGAAGGACCAAGTGTCAGCAGTGGTCAAACTGTATTCTCAGTATGCCAGCACCTCTTCAAAGTCCATATTTTAAAACGGAATGTAAAAACTACACAATTAGTAAACTACTTGTTTAAGCTGAAGATCAATTTCCAATTCTACAACCAGGCTGAGGTAAAAAATAAACAAATGGTATCTGAGAGGTGAAATTAATTACTGATGGTAATTTTCTGATGTAAACAGCTACTAATTTATTTAGTTCTTGATTGCCAAATTAAGACTATAGAAATATATGTACACAATTATTTTTTTAAAATAAAAAGTAGCAAGTTTTTTTGTGTCCAAGTATGTCTGGTGTTTACTTTCAATGGCCAAGAATGAGAACTTTTAGGAAAACAAACCAAAACACCCCAAAGAGTTAACACTATGCCTACAACCTGTAGATTTCTTTTTCATTAGAAGACAAGAATTCTTCGCATGCACATTTACTTATTTAGTGACATAAGAACTTTAACATCTAGTAAAACGCTCTTATTTGTCTCACTAAAGCACATCATTAAAAAACACATTATATTGGGCTGTCATCTGCCTAACTAACTGTTACAACACAAATTTATTCCAATACTTACAGCACTCAAACAACACCACTTTACTATTATGAGCACAGCCTTTTTCCTTCACAAATCCTTACTGTTATTCACACTGAAGCTTCAAAACAAAACAGGAACTGCAACTACAGTGAAAATGCTGACCCCATATTTGCATTAATGGGAAGGCCAGTGACACCTGACCAGTGAATGTGTCACCTCACACATGGCCCCTAGCATTCTCTACTTGTTTCATGCAAACTGCTGTGTTCAATAGGCTTTTCTTAAAAATGGTTCAAAGGTTTACCAGTAAGACAATCACTTTCCACACAGACACAGGTTAGTTCAATGAACAAGTGAGAATGGCTCACTTGGTAGGGGGAGGATAACAGCTTCAAAAAAATATTTCTTGACTTGAGTCCTACTGGAAATTAATCAACCAGTCTAAGCAGTTGTGCTTGAGTTCAGTAAGCAAACACTTAACATGCACATGTAATGGCCTGACATCACCTACACACTGGGTCTTCCTACAGTGAAGGAAGGGCAGAAAATCTCTCCTTGAGCTCTCTGTTCAACCAGAGAGGTAGGGAGCCTTGGTTGCTCTTTCTTGAGTTTTATAGTCACAGCCTTGCTCAGAACAGGAAACCTGTCAACATATAAGCCAAAATGCAACATATCCAGAACAACCTGGGGACAAAGCAAAGTTATTCATTTTCATTCCATAACTACTGTATATTTAACAACAAACTCATTACAAAGATACAGTCTTCATCCAATTAGTCTTTTCATTATTGCTGGTTTAGAAAATGGCCAACAATATTCATTAGGTACTGTGCCATTAACATTGCATTCAAAGAAAGAAAACATAGGAAACCAAATTCTCGCTCTCCTACTCTGATGATATGCTCTGGTATTAGCTAGAGTATGGTAGTACAAAAAGAGTCTTGTTGTGATATAAAAGGCAATAAACACATCAATGGAATAATGTTCATGGGCAGCCAAGATGAAGAAGATTCCAAAGAGGTTGAGAACCCAGGAGAGAGTGTGCAAGAAATTCCAGCTTCTTGGTGTATCTAGGAAAATAACAGAAGGATCATTTAAAACCACACTTGTTCCAATGAGCCTTGTCACATGCTTCTCAGGGTATGATAGGTTGTTGTTCCCCAATCTGCCCTTCCCTCTTGTTTCACAACCCTGTTTCATGTAGTGTAGTCCAGGCTGCCTTAAACTGGATATGCAGATGAATCTGGACTTCTGGAATTACAGGCATCTATCATTACATGTGGTTTTTATATACTATTTTTTAAATTTTTATTTTATGTGCTTTGGTGTTTGCCTGCATGTATGTCTGTATGTCTGTGTGAGGCTGTCAGATCCCCTAGAACTGGAGTTGCAAACCATCATGTGGGTGCTGCACCATCTCTCCAGCCCCATCACACACACATAAATATTTTTTAAAGATTTATTTATTTATTATGTATACAGTATTTTGCCTGCACACCAGAAGAGGGCACCAAATAGCATTATGGATAGTTGTGAGTCACCATGTGGTTGCTGGAAATTGAACTCAGAACCTCTGGAAGAGCAGTCAGTGCTCTTAACCTCTGAGACACCTCTCCAGCCCCCATCACATATGTTTTTATGTGGTACATGTCTTCATGAAGGGCAGGCAAGCACTCCACCAACTGAGTTACAACCCCAGTCCATTTCCTGTTCTCCCTAGGACTTTGCATCCTTCCCACCCCTCCTCTGCAGTTGTCTGATATGCACAGAAGCATTAAAAACATACTTACACTCTGTGACAAAGAAATTCAGCATGGTTAGAACAACTGTGTGGCCACTGAACATGTAATCTCCGCAAGTGTGAACACCAGTCAGGGTCATACCAAAGCCACTCCAAATGGCAAACGCCCGGTGTAGTTTCTCCCACACACTTCCATATATCTATAAAGAAAGCTGTGAATTAGTTCTTCAAATGCTTAGAGAGGTTCAGAGCTTTCCCAAATCAATTTTGGGGAATTTGTGAGGAACGATTCATAAGTAAGAACATCCAGGCAAAGGCAAACAAAGTCTAACCCAATTAATTCCAAGTGGGCCCAGAGACTAAATTACATGCCCAGCGACTAAATTACATGCCCAGCTTGTCTGCACTCAGAAAATGCTGCTAATTAAATGAAATCATAGCATTTCAAACTCCTGTACAGTAGAGTTCCTTTAAAGTGAAAATGACAAGCTGGGCATGTAACATATATTTAAGAGGCACTTGAGGCTAGTCCAGTCTACATATTGAGTTCCAGGACAACCAGGGCTACATACACAACAACAAAAGCAAGAAGTGAAAATGTCAAAGCCAAGAATGATGTCACGTGTCCATAATCCCAGTACTTCATAGCCAGAAGCAGGAGGATCAAGAGTCTTGGTGACATAGGCCAGTCAAGGTCACATGAGATTTCATCTTAAAACAAATACCCACTGTAAAACAAGAACATCTCTAGGTTTTATTTCACTTATTTTTTTTTCCATAATGCCCATGTTTAAATCTATATTAAAATATTTTTCCCCCTTCAAGACAGGGGTTTCTCTGTTTAACAGCTTTGGGTGTCCTGGAACTCAATTTGTAGGCCAAGCTGGTCTTGAACCCACCTGCCTCTGCCTCCAGAATGCTGGAATTAAAGGCATGTGCCACCACTGCCTGACCTTATATTAATTTTTTTTAAATAATCTCCAACTTTCAGTTGGGCATGGTGATGCATGCCTTTAATCCCAACACTTAGAGGAGATAGAGACAGGCGGATCTCAGTGAGTTCAAGGCCAGTCTGGTCTATAAAGTGAGTTCCAGGATAGCCAGGGTTGTTACACAGAGAAACCCTGTCTCCAAAAACCAAAAATAAGTAAATTAGTAAGGAAGGAAATAAGCTATGCCGTAATTTCTACCGTTTAATATCTATCCTCTCTGTCATCACTGGTTACAGAATCGCATACACTGATGACACCATGAACTCAGCCAGGTCTTACTCCCTCCTGGCCTTCCCTGAACTTAGGCAGAGCCATGTCCTCTAAGAAAGCTGTAAGCAAAAGTGTGGAAGATTTCTAGGAAGGGTACAGAGATAAAAGAGGAGTTCTTTTGCACCTCTCTACTTGCTTTCTACCTCCAATAATTCAATCTCCAACAGCCACCAAGGACCACAATGTGGCCTTGAGACACAATGTGTCTCAGGGTAGTAGAAAAGAAAGACAAAAGATCATGGGGGTTTGATAAGGCAATCATAGCAGATCCCCCCCCCCATTTCTTTGTAACCTTGGCTGTCCTAGAACTTACTCTGTAGACCAGGCTGGCCTCCAACTCAGATCCTCCTACCTCTGCCTCCCAAGTGCTAGGATCAAAGGTGGTTACCACTGCCCAGCTGGATAATATCTTAAATGAGGACAGGGAACAAGTCTCAACAATTGTCATCCAGTATCTAAAGTATTTTCATCTTTTCCCATTCTACATCTCTCATACATCCTTCTAGAAACAAACTGAAACAGAGAATAATGAATTGGAAGCTGTCCAGACAAGATATGCAAATTAGCTTTGGGTTGCTAAATTTAAAAACTAGGCATGTTCTCAGTTGTCTTGGTTCTGTGATTTTAAACCATTAATTTATCACAGTGAAATGCCTATGGATCTCCCTAAGGGATTTGGCTGCTGGTTGTTACCCCCATAACACTCTTTTAAGATTGCTATATATAATGTAGGTCAATAGGCAGGATACATTATACTTCAAAGCAATTAGCGGTAATTCAGGGCAGATTTAGATGGAAATATCTACACATAACTATTAATAGAGAAAAGTCATTGGAGATAGAAAGAGGGCTGTTCACAATGGAGACATCTGACTTGTTCTTGTAGCACATGATGCAGCGGTGTGCACAAAGACCCAGCCTTCTCTTCAGTGGCTGTCCCTGATAAACCTTCAAGGGCCGGACATTCTCTTGTCCACTAACAAGCTTCACAGGAAAGCAAAACATTTCACCTCAAATACATTCCTTTGGTATTTTCGGATCTGGTTATTCAGAAAATGACACTCAGATATAGCTTATTTAAAAATCCCTCCTTGTATAAAAAGAAGTATCTATCTGCATTAGTTAATTAAGGAAAGCAGAGACTGAGGGTCTGATACCTCCAGACCAGACAGAAATGACACAGGTGTCATCCCATCATGAGATCATCCTCAAGTAAGAGCAGTCATCTCATGAAAACTGGTGTATTCCCTTAAGCAATAACAAGAACTTAGATAATGCGGTCTCATTATATGTACTTCTTTCTCAACCCAATTTTTCCTCTATTTAAACCTAAAGTTCATATCAGTATTTCAGGTATTACTGGACTCCTCTCCATGTTCCCCTTTCCAAAATGGCCACAATAACTGAATCTCTCTGTCTTCCACCACTACTAAACCCTGTAATTGTTTCACTAAGCTACTACTCAGCTTAGTCTGCCGGGACCTGGGCAGCGGAGTTTTCGGTTAAGAATATAAGCTGAAGCCAGGAGCTGGTGGTGCACACCTTTAGTCCCAGCACTTGGGAGGCAGAGGCCGTGGCAGGTGACTCTCTCAAAACCAGTTTGGTCTACAAAGCAAATTTCAGAACAGCCAGGAGTACATAGAGAAGCCATGACTTTGAAAAAGAAAACTAACCAACCTCTCAACAATTTAAGGCTATAAATCAATGAAATAATTGTTTGAAAACAAAGACAGCCAAAGAACGGGGTCAATATTATAGTGACATTGCCTTCATGGTGGTACCCTACAGTCTACTTAAAGGAATGTATACTTGTATTATAAAAGTTATTAAGACAACTAAATTAGATTCTAGTCATTTCTTTTTTTTTAATTAATCTAAATTCTAAAGCAAAGCCAATTTTCTCAATTGCTTAAAAAGAAATTACAGAGAGTAATAACCAGGAATGTTTTAGAGATGCTTACAAATCTATCTCCATGTGAAGGAAAGTAAAATGTGAGAGAATACCACTCTGATCACTCCCGGCCCCGCCCCCCCCCAGACAGGGCCTGTCTTGTATCTCAGGATGGCCTGGAACTCACTATGGCAGTGGTTCTCAACCTTCCTAACACTGCAACCTTCTAATACAGTTCCTAATGTTGTGGTGACCCCAATCATTATTTCACTGCTACCTCATAACTGTAATTTTGCTATAAATTGTAATGTAAATAACTGATATGTAGGATATCTGATATGTCACCATTGTGAAAGGGTCGGTGAACTCACAAAGGGGTCACGAACTATAGTTGAAAAACTGTACTATATGGTTCAGCTGTCTTCAAATTTGCCAGTCTCTCAACACAGCCTCCTGAGTGCTGAGATTATAGTCATGAATTGCCATGCCAGGCTCCCAATGACTTTTTCATTGTTGTTTTGCTTTGTTAACTAAAAGCCTGAGGGGATCTGGCAAGATGGTTAAGTGGGTAGAGGCATTCCTGTGTAGGCCCAATGACTGGAGCTGTCCTCTGAACCACACATTCCTGCTGTGGTATGTGTATGTATGCACTTGCATGTGTCACACACACACACACACACACACACACACACACACACACCTCACTCTCTCTTCCCCACTCCACCTTCCGTAAATTTAAAGTGTTTTGATAGATATTTTTGAGTGATGTCTGGAGAGCAAAAGCAAATGTGGATGTTGTTCATTACTCTTCATAAAGAATGGTTACTTAAAAAGTATAGTTAGAAAGTGCAAAGTGTATCTTTGTCTAAAATACCAACCTAGAGACTACATTTTTTTTTCCCAGTGACCATTTTAGGAATATGTATCACAATACATTAAAATTCTGTTTCCAAAAATTTAGAGTAAATGGAGGAGATAGCTCAGAGGCAAAAAGTGCTTGCCTACCATGTGCAAGGTATCAGGTTCAAGGTTGTTCCACAAAACATGCCCTGGCCATTCTGGAACTCAATCAGTAGAACAGGGTAGCTTTGAAATAAAAACTCAGATCCACCTGCCTCTGCTTCTCTCGTGCTAGGATTAAAGATGTGTGCCATCATTGTTTGGTTAACCATGAGATCGGGGAGATGGGTAAAACATGCCTTGAGTTCAGATCCCTAGAAATCATGCCAAGAAGGCACAGAAAAGGCTAGTTGGATATCCCAGCACAAAGAGGCAGAGACAGGAAATGCCCACAGCTGCTGGCATACTAGCCAAACTGGTGGCTTCAAGTTCAGCCTGAGACCCTGCCTTAATATATAAGGTGGAGATTGATCAAGAACCTGACACCAACCTCAGGCCTCACAGATATTCAAGTGAAAGAATGTGCCAGTACCTTAAGCATAATCATAGAATCACCTCTGTAATTCATGCTTCAGTTGAAGGATCTCCATGAACGTCAACTTATGGGAGTAAATAAAAATTCTACTTAAAAACTGTTTGTGCTGCTGGAGGTACCCAACACTTTTAATCCTAGCAGTTGTGAGGCCAAGACAGGAGGCTGTCTGTGAGTTCTAGCCCAGTCTGGTCAACACAGTAAGTTCTAGGCCATCTAGAGCTGCATAGTGACATTGCCTAGGAGGGAGAGAGGTACAGAGAGAGAGACATAAGAAGAAACTCCAAACCAGACCTGTGCAAGTAGACACAACTATTAAAAGTTTCATTTGTAGGCTGGGATAAAAAGGGGTCTATGTGAGCTTTTGCTCTTTAACATACACTTATATATAATTTGAGTTCTTATAAGAAACATTTACAACTTTGTAATAAAATGATGTTTTTCTGCCAGGTGGTGGTATTTGTCTTTAATCTCAGCATTTGGGAGACAGAGGTAGGTGGATCTGTGAGTGTGACCAGCCTGGTCTACAGCGTGAATTCCAGGACAACCAGGGCTACACAAAGAAACCCTGTCTTGAAAAAAACCACAAAACTCCCCCAAAGTTTTTAACCTTAAAACTATCTGCTTCAGAGAAGTCTGAAAGTGCCCTGGGTCCTTCTCAGTGCTCAGTCTCACAGGCCTAATACCTGGAGAACTTGCTGCCCTTCACCTCAAGGGCAGGATTTTTAGCTCTTCATCTCCTTCCAGTGCTCAATCTTCCTTCCCTAACTGGTGTGTCAGCTATTTCTACTACTGCAGTATAGGCAATGGCACCTAATTTTGTTTTACAAGCAACATTAAAATAACAACAAAGGTGTTAATGTAGCCACTAAGACCCCTGTCTGAAGTGTAGGTTAATAATATTTTTTTTTGCCCAAATTTAATCATTCACAATTTTGTATATCAAAAACATATGATACCTTCAACTTTTGTTTTTATTTCTTTTAGACAGGGTCTTTCTACATAGGCCTGGTTGTCCAGGAACTCAGTTTGTAGATCAGGCTGGTTTCAAACTCACAGAGATTCATCTGCCTTTGCCTGTCAAGTGCTGGGATTAAAGGCATGTGGAACCATGCCCAGCTGAGATCCTCAACTTTTAAGATTATTTTATTGATTTTTAAAATTCATTAGTGAGGGATGAGTGCTGGGGACGGAACCCCAGGACCCTGTGCACACTGGGCAATCACTCTACCACCAAGTTTGAATTTTAAAAACACCCTAGATCTTAGAATAAAAATAATAATTTATAACTCCCATTTCTGTTCCCTATTGGCATAATTTGTCCTCTCTCTATTTAATCAACAATAAAACAAATAAGGAAGTTATAAAATGCACACCAAAACTGAAAGGGGAAAAAAATCCATATAAATATTTCACACATCCTAGAAAGTTTACAGAGCCCTGGGTTAAAGAATGCTTAAAGTGTTTAAAGAAAATGGCTGATGGAGGCAGTAAGGGCCCTGAGCACCCCATATGAAGACTAAAGTGTATCAAAGGTGGATGTGATCCAAATGCATTGTGAATGTGTATGCAGGTGTGATAATGGCAACCATTATGGTACCTAATCAATATATACTAATAAAAACATTGTAACAAAGATACTGACTGTAGTAAGAAAGGGAAAGATGTAGCAGAAAAAGATAGTCAAAATAATTTTTCCCACAGTCCTGTAACATGGAACTAATATCCATGATGGAACACAGAAAGATAAGTCTAGCTAACTAAGGTTACTTAACCCAGTTATTTTTGTCAAGTTTACTATTGGTATTGCAAATACAAAAATAAAGCACATTTTTAACATAAAAGCATAATTTTTGCCTTCCTGCATTAATCCTGGGTCATTAATCCAAAAGAACAATAAAGAACACACAGAAGGTAACAGGCTACCTTTCCAGTACACTGCAGATGCTGTCCTGGCACGGAGAGGGAGGTCACAAACATGGTAAAGCAGCGAAGCAAGAATACAGTGCCCATCAGACTACAGAGCCTTCGCAGAAGGATTGACCTATAAACAGAGTGATCAAAGCAGAAATCAGACAACACTCCAACTCTCCTAGGGAGAAAGAATGCAAGGGGAAATCACTAGTCTTTATGAAGAACAGAAATCTTTCCCCCACTCAGAAGTTCTGTATTAAAAGGAAAACCAAATGGGTCAGTGTTTGCCTGGGGCCAGGATTGGAATTAATAATGAAAAGACAAGAGGGTGTTCTAAAATCTCAACCGTGGCAGTATTTGCTCACAAGTTGTTTATTAAATGTAGAGCTGTAAACTTAAAAGTAGAAAAACATAATTAAATTACATCTTTGTAATGCATATATGTGGTTTTATCACACTGTATACAAAACAATGGGTTTCATTACATATGTCATAATATTTTATTTTAATTTGGAGGAGAGGATCTTAGGAGATCATCTAACATGTCATCATCCACTAGAGTTCTGCAGTGATGGAGATGTTTTATATACCATGTAGCCAGCTAGCTACAGTCGGCTCTTGAGCACTTGGAACTCATGTTCCTTATGTTAGTAAGATCTGTATCTAATATTAAATCATTGAAATTACAATAGCCACATGCAGCTAGTGCAGATTGGAAAGAGCATTCTTTTGGTGGTAAAATAAGACCATACAAAAGTGGAGGTTTGTTTGTTTTTCAAGACAGGTTTCTCTGTGTAGGCTTGGCTGTCCTGGAACTTGCTTTGTAAACCAGGCTGGCCTAAGATCCACCTCCCTCTGCCTCCTGAGTGCTGGAATTAAAGGTATTCTCATCCTGGGAAGCATAATACTAGTCCTATTATTTATTTAAAAATTTAAGATTTTCTTATTGTTTTTAATTATGTGTAGGTATGTGTGTTTGCCTGTAGGTGTGTGCATGAAAGTGCAGGTATCCTTGGAGGCCAAAGGTGTAAGATTCCCTGGAACTGGAGTTATAGGCAGTTGACAGCCATTCAATGTGGGCACTGGAGACTGGACCCCAGTGCTGTGAAGAACACCAAGTGCTTTTTCCCACTTTTGCCAGCCTCTTAAGTTGTTTATAGGAGGGTAAAGTTGATCACTTGAGATTCTACTTTTGCCTCATGAACAGCATTAAAATGGTTCACAAGAATAGTTATATGAAGTTATTCTAAGTTGTCCCTTACTTAAACTTAAGCTCTGAAAATAATACTGTTTTATATTAAGTAACAGAAACTTTGAATAAGCATAATCTGAGTAATCATAAACTGTGATTATCGTTTGTACTGTTATTTCTTTAAATGCCCTAAATTGAAACAGAATAAGAGTTTGGGGTACTTTCTCTCAAAAGTAGCACCGAACATAAGGCAAAGTATGTTTTAGTCTTTAATGTGCACATCTGGATGGAGCTTAAGAACCTGCAGCTCAACCACCTTTCAATTCCAATCAAAAGTAACACAAAGATGACGCTTGAGAAATACCTTCTTGGACTAAGGAAGTGTTGATTCCTGAATTTATCTACTTTTAAGTAAAACCACTACTTGGATTTACCTGGTCACTACTATGCTTCACCAAATCTACCAAGGTTTCTTCTAAGGTAACATTTGTTTTTATTTTCATGAGTGGATAGATTTAAGTCCATAGGGACTTGAGAGCCAAAGTTAGCCAGAAAGCAGTGATATACACATTTTTAAACCATTTTATCTTAAAATAGGAGTGCACACAAGAACACAATGAGAAATGTGGCAAAATGGCCTCAAAAAATATGGCCTGAAAATGTGACAAAAATAGCAGTCATTAACCTTTCTTTTCACCTTCAAAGTACTAAAATAACCACAGCTCAGGATGTGTGTGGCCACCACAGAACTTCCTGTTGAGGAGTGAGGTCCCCAATTGCAAGACAATACCCACACATCACTCTTCAGGGTTCTAAAAACAATGGGCAGCAGATAACCACAGACAGTTTCTTAATGTTTTCTTCACCACTAAGCCTTATTTTCTCTCCTTTTTTTTTTTTTTTTTTTTTTTTGTTTTTACATCAAGCAAGACTCATTAATATAGAAAAGGGGTCTTCCTACCCTTATGCCTTTCTTGCTCTGTCTACCTGCCTGTCTATTTATTTGTTCATTCGCTATTATTTGTTTGCTCATTTATTTATTTGTTTGGTTGGTTATTTATTGGTTTTTCAAGACAGGATTTCTCTGTATAACAGCCTTTGCTGCCCTGGAACTCACTCTGTAGATGGGTTAACCTTGAACTAATAGAGATCCACCTGTCCCTGTCTCCCGAGTGTTGGGACTAAAGGCATGCACCACCAACATCCAGCTGTTGTTTTTATTTATAATAATAATTTAAAGTTTTCCCTTGGTATTTCTTGGAGAAAGTGCCAAGAAGCACTCTCCCCATTTAGCAGCTTCACCATCTCAGATGTGCAGAGCATGCAAGATAGTCTTGTTTAATGGGTGTCCCTCCTCCAATCAAACACTTAACCAAACACTGTCCTTGGGAGCATTTCCATCTTTCTACAGAAGCACCATTTCTAGTTTGTTTCTGAAGAAGAAAGGAGAAAGATGAAAGGGAGAGGAAGAGAAGAAAGAGGAGGTAAAAGGAAGAGGGAAAGGAAGAAGAGGAGGAGGAAGAGGAGACAAAAGCTAGAGTAGTAAGGAATGGCTCGAGGCTGACTATCCTTTTCCCTATAAAATACACTCACAATATTACTAGATATATTGGCCTGGCAACCTTCCTTAACCAAACCCCCAACTTCCCTTTGTAAAAAGCTATGTTCCACAGAGCAGCACCTGGGCAACGCAGGGGAAGGACCATGCTCAACAACAGACACCAGTCAGACATTTTCAATCTTTAGGATCAGGGATACCTGTGCTTGTGAAGAAGAAGAACTAGGATCCAAATGTAGCACAGAATCACACCACACACTTCGGTCATGGAGAAGGCCCACGGGATCCTGGGAACACTGCAACAGAAAAAGTTATTTCTGGAGCTGAAGACCAGCAGATGCACCCCTTTTCAGAGCAATGCTTCACCCTCAGAACTGTTCTGTACAATTTTACCTCTTTCAGATTAGTGCCTGGGGTTAAAAATCAGCTTCATGAACTATTACACTCATCAGAATCTACTGGCTGCCACTGACTTCCAATAATGGTTCTCTGTAAAGAAATAACAACTCATCTCTCCCAGACTATAGCATTCAATCTCAACCGTCTCCCCAAAATGGGGGTTCAAGATAGGGTTTCTTTGGAGCCTATCCTGGAACTCACTCTATAGACCAAGCTGGCCTCAAACTCAGAGATCCGACTGTCTCTGCCTCCCAAGTGCTGGGATTAAAGGTGTGCACCACTACCTCCCAGCAGCATTCAATTTCTTAAATTACTTTATTTTTAGGTGTGTGTGTACAAGCACAAACATGTGAATACAGGCAGAAAGTAAGCTAGAAGAGGACATCAGAGTCCTTGGAGTTTGAGTTATAGCAGCTGTGAGCTGCTTGGCATCAGTGTAAGTCTTCTGCAAAAGCAGCACACACTCTGAAACCTCTGAGCTATCTCTCCAGCCAGCACCCAATTCCTTAAACTGTGGGTTATAGGACTGAATGAGGAAGAGAATCTGCACAAAATTTAGTACATAAATAAGAAAGAAAAAAAATGAGCTGGGATTGATATGTAAAACAAGATTGTTTCTAATTTAAATTGAAAAAGAGAAAAGAAAAAAAAAAAAAGAATAATGGCTACAGAACAAACAAAAACCAATTAATCATCCAACATGTAATGAGTCTGAGGTGTTTCTGGCAGTGCCCACCTCCCCTGCACTGCATTGGGCAACTTTCCTGCAGTCTTGGTTCTGAACATAAAACATGCATTTCACACTGCATACCATTACTCCATACCACACCAACAAATGCTGCCTGTAACAACCCAGATTCAAAGACTGCGCTGTTATGAACCTCAATGAACCTCAGTGTCTTTACTATAAAAATTCTTCTGCTCTGAGAAGAAAAAAAAAAAAAAAAAAACACTACTTTCATTATAAAAACAGATATAATCATCAATTTTCATATTTGCTACTCCTCATTACGTAAGCAACAAGTTATCATGTGATGATGGCTGACTTTAAAAACTGCTGTGGCCAGGTGCACACCTTTAGTTCCAACACTCTGAAGTCATAGGTAAGTGTATCTCTGTAAGTGTGAGGCCAGCCTGGTCTACAGACTGAATTCTAGGACAGCCAAAGCTACAGAGAAGCCCTGTCTCAAAAGAAACAAACAAAAAAATTGTTACATGAATTTTGGCTCAGGTTTAGAATAACATTTCCAACAAGTTCTAAATGGCCCTGAACAGCTGCCATTTTGTATTACAAATTTATGAAATGATATTCTCAGAACTGAGGACTATAAATAAGTAAATAAAAATATTAACTTTCAAAAACACATAAGATGCTATATCCACAAGTAGCAAATATTTAGCAAATATTTAATTTTTTAAATGTAAAATTTTATTATGTAATTTGTCTTCTCAATTTTAATAATAATAATAATAAAATTATACGCATATCAAAAGAATTTTCTAAAAATAAATTTATGATATATTATCAGCAAATGTATGATTTGCTAGGACCAAAGGCATGTGCCATGACACCCTTTAAAAAAACACTTTAAAAATAATATACATAGCTGGGCGGTGGTGGCACACGCCTTTAATCCCAGCACTCGGGAGGCAGATCTCTGAGTTTGAGGCCAGCCTGGTCTACAGAGTGAGTTCCAGGACAGGCTCCAAAGCTACACAGAGAAACCCTGTCTCAAAAACAACAACAACAACAACAACAATAACGACAATAATAAAACATATAAGTCAGGCATGGTAGCAAACACCTTTGTTCCCAGTACTCAGGAGGCAAAGGCGGGTGGATCTCCAAGTTGGAGACCAGTCTGGTGTACAGAAAGAGTTCAAGGACAATTAGGGATACATAGTGAGACCCTGCACTCAACAAGAAATACATACGTACATACAAAGTTAAATTTTGCATACTTAGGACATACTTCTTCCCAAAACTAAACCTAATTACTGTTTCTCAATTTTATGCTATTTTATCCCACATTACATCTTTTAGTAACACACTCATCTAACACACACATACTCAACACACAAGTGCATGTACACTCACCTAACACACACACATACCTACTTCCTTTATACAAGTCTCATATACACTTTTTTTTCATAATTTTGCTTAAGAACAGCTGCTTTAGCTTTTACTCAATATAAGCTTATAGTCATACAAAAATCATGATAAAACTCCTTCCTGTAAAACTTCTTATAATTTTCTAGATCTCTTTTCCATCCTTCCCCATTCCCCATTATTCCTTCTGTTATAATGGCATAAAATGGTATTCTTGATCCCTTCTACTTTTATTTCTCTTCCTATCATCTTTCCCTTTGCCCTACCACAGCAACCATTACTTGCTGTTATAACCTGAACCTTTTTGTTACTAATAAACTAAACTAAACTAAACTATAAACTAAATCCCAGGTCATCCACCCCTACAGTTAGTACAACACCCTACAATACAGCCTCATGCAAACACACCAAAGACCTGTGATCAAGCACCAACCCCATTTCTTTGTAATTCTTCACTGACCTTACAGCAAAGATCTGATTGTCTCCAACCCCCATTTCCTCCCATCACTAGTATATTTGAAAAAACCCTGATCCTTCTGAAAAAAATTTACAAAAACAATTACTTAATACTCTTCACTTAAATCATTCAATTATTTATATTTAATGTTTTTGTCATATTTGCTTCATTTCACACATTTTAGAGTCCTCCCGACTAAGTTACAGATACACCTCCTCCCTAACTACATGTATCTCGGAGATTAAGGATGGACCTTCAGATTCAGACCCTGACAACGGCTGCATTGACTTTGCATCATCATTTAATATGCAATCCACATTCACACTCTCTAACTATCCTCAACACATCCTTTACAACTAAATTTCCTGATTAGGATCTAGTTACCATGTATGTAATTGGTGTCCCTTCAATTTCCCTCACAATCCCTGGGTTTTGTTTACTATGACACTGACATCGGAGACTCTAGATGAGCCATCATGTAGAAAGCTCCTTTTTGTGCGTCTGACTATTTCCACGTAATCAGCCTTAGGTTGAAATTTTCTGAGGGCAAGATTACTACTGAGGTGATGCTTTGAATATTAAATCCAGTGCACACTGTCAGTTTCCACTGTGATGGATCTGACCATGTGGTTGAGATAATCTCTGTCACTCCCATCACTGTAAAAGTACCTGTTTCCTCTGCAATTAAGTAATGTGGAAGATGAGACTTCAATCATGTGAATATGCTGCTGCTCAGCGGCTTTCCATCAAATGGGTTTCAACATCCACTAATAACTTGCCTGAATCAACTGCACACTGACAGATTCAGACTTACAGCTTCACTTCACACCCATTATTTCTTGTCATATATTATTTTCCTCAATTCTGCCCCCCCCCCTTTTATAAGCAGGAGGAATAGTGTACTGAGTATACTGTAGGAGGTGAGAAGGCTGAGTAGTAACCAGAATACTATTACCTATAATAGGTTGTGTCTCCACATGACAGCTTACAGATTGAGCTTGGTGGTAGAGCACTTACCCAATATGGAATTGGCCCTGGGCTCAATAACCAGCATGGAAAACAAGGTGATACTTAGCTAACAAAAGTTGTTACTTACTGTTCTTTTCTTGTTTTTCATACCATACAATGTTTATTTATTTTTGGTTTTTCAAGATAGTGCTTCTCTTTGTAGCCCTAACTGTTCTGGAATTTGCTTTATAGACCAGACTGGCCTCAAACTCATCTGCTTGCTGAGTGCTGAGATTAAAGACATGCAACTGGGAATTGTCCTCTGAAAGAACATCCAGTGCTCTTAACTGCTGAGCCATCTCTCTTTTTATTTTTTGGTTTTTTAAGACAGGGTTTCTCTGTGGCTTTGAAGCCTGTCTTAAAACTCTGTAGACCAGGCTGGCCCCAAACTCACAGAGACCTGATTGCCTGCCTCTGCCTCCCAAGTGCTGGGAGTAAAGGTATACGCTGCCACCACCCGGCTATGCTGAGCCATCTTTCCAGCCCCTGGCTACTTCTTCTTTTTTTTTTTTTTTTCTATTTACTTACTTTTATTCAGTATCAGTAACAAAATCAATCCCTGAATCAATTTGTACTACTGGAAATAAATTTGACTCATCTAGTGCTACTTTTAGAAAAGCAGAACCCTTTTCATCATTTAAAATAAGAATTTCTAAACAGAAAGAAAGGCAGGTAAGTCTATTACAAACATTCTCCTAACATAATATACCCTTTACAATTTGCCCAGAGTTTGAATCTGTGGTCTACCTACCTCAGTTTCCAGAGTACAAGTGTGTGTCACCATGCTTGGCAAAGCACATCCTTTGATGGCACCAGACAAGGCAAATGGAATATACATGTCAGCTATCATCACAACATAATTATCTATGTCTAGAAATAAAACCTACCTGTCTAAGAATATATCTGGGAGTGGTGGATAGGTCTGCATGTCAGGCACTCGCTCATGAACAATGACCATAATGAAAGATGTAAACCCGAATACTATAAAAACATATATGCAACTCAGTATGGTCTTCCAGTACTCTGGGTCCAATCTTCGAACAGAATGTTTGTTTTTGCCATTCATGTATTGGTACTGATCAGAATTCAAGTCAGTGATGGGTCCGTCACAGTCGTGTGTGGGTTCTCCATTACAGAGCCAGTCTGCACTCTGAAGAGCACTGATGAATGGAGTCATGGGACTCATAGGACTGTCACTGTTGTAGCCCATCTCCTCCAAAACATCAGTATGGATTTTCTGCAATTTTCTGACTGAGAGCATTAACCTTTTAATGTCTCCTAGGACTTTGATTTCCAGAGGAGGAGAGCGAAGATCATATTCAGTCAGTGTGAGCAATGTGATTCCATCAAGCCGGTGTTTGTTGCATAAAACGTCCACATATTCCAAGAAGCCTTCACCCTTCAGCCACACTGCGACATGCTTGGTAGTCCAGCGGCGAATGCAGAGTTGACTGGGGCCTGCCATTTCTTTCTCCACCGCCTGTCAAGGGGAAACAGGAAAACAAAACAAAAACTTTAATTTCATTCAACATCTTCATTAAAGACAAAATGCAAATACACATACCAAAAACAATAAAGTACCTAAGCTGCCCCCAGTAGCTCCCATAGTCAAAAACAAAATTTATCCGGTAATAAGTGACTTCAACAGATTAACATCTGATGGTGGCTGTTTTGGTTTCATGAAGGACATTGTTGAACCCAGAACTCACACAGGGTAAGGCAAGTGATCTACCCTGAGCTATATCTCAACTTTAACACTTTAGAATAAAGTATTTTACAAATGGCGTTTCCACAACATGTCAACAACGATCACTTCAAAAGATTACTAATGAGAAAAATGGAGGAAGAGAAAAAAAATCCCATTTTAACACTTTTTATAAAATGAAATCTATAAGACATGAGAAAAATTAAATCTCTGAAATTGCTGTGTTGGTGAGAAAAATTTTCCCTCACTTGTGGTGGAAAAGAATACACAACTTACATAACTTTAGATTTGTATATTTCTATCTACTATAGATGGAATAATTTAGCCAACAGATAAAAAGATTTTAAAATAACTATAAACTGGACTAAGTTCCTACTAGGTCCCAACACAGAATGAAAAGGTTCTTCTGGGAGTTAGTGGTCAGTTTTAAAAGAAAACTATCACTTCAATATATTCATACATACTAGTATAAAAGGCTACTTAGTACACTGTTTTTAAAAGTACTGATAATTTTTGCTATTTTGATCCTACTCAGCTATTAATCTTCTTTTGTAAAACCCAGGACTATTTCAAGTTTATAAATATACCAACTTGATCAGATATATAGGAAACATAGGCTAATATGGAAAAACAAAGGATAACAAAAAACTACTTCTCATGTGTCTACTTCCTTATCTGTTAAAGCCCGTGGGTTTTCTGGATTTCTAATAAGTCACTATATTTCCTTTTGAATAATGTTTAAAAACAGGACAGGCATTTTTTTAAAAAAAAAAATCCACAATGATGCAATAAATATCTAGTTTTTAAAAAACAGCTGCAGTAAATTGTTCTGGGCAAGTATGAGTTATATGCTTCTTTTGTGAAAGTTAATTAAGCTATACAGTTTGCTTTAAAAAGCAAGTCAAAACTTTAGTACAAATGAATATCCTCCAGGATGAAGGTTCTCCACAATGCCTGAAATGACATGTCTTTCTCTCCCCCACACAGATGATACTCTAGTCTCCCGATGTAAGCCTTATCATGGCTTCATAGCCCACAATCTGGAGTAAGAAAAACTTTCCAGCTTCTTTAGGCTAAGGAAATTAAAAAGGTAGGTAATGTTACATAGCCTTTCCTTTCCACACAAACACTTGTCATAAAGACGTGACATTACTGAACAAAAGCAGATATCTTAACTAATAAGTTCACTCATATCATTCAAAAGTATTCAGGAATTAGAGTTGATGATATTCACCCAAAGATGAAAATGTCCATCATTAAGGATTTTGTCTTGATAATAAAAAGGCAATCCTCATTTTTAAAAAGCTTAAAGTGTATTTCATTATCAACCCACATTTTTATTCCAATCTTAGAAAATTAACATCCATCTACAAGGAGTTTGCATTTTAAGTGTGCTTCAAAGTACATGTAGCATATGTAAAATTCCATTAAACTATGGTTTTACAATGTTTGAGTTTACATTCATTACTAAATAGTTTCACCCTTTCTGCTAAATCTGTACTTTCCTTTCCCCCTGGTATGCTCTGACTAAATCATCAAACTTGGATACCTAACGAGACATGTTATAAACTCAGCCACAGTTACCAAGTAGCAAACCTCATCAACAATAAGCAAAATTCTCCATTTTATCTCAATTCTTCTCCATTCCCCATTGTCTAATAGCTTACCACTGGCGGGTTCCAAGTCACTCCCATCCTTGGAGCATTATTCTTTAGTATAGTTTCATCTTATACTCTGAGCAAAACAATTCTTCTTTTTCACATTTCACTCACCAGTTCTTTCCACTTCAATCAAGCTAACTAACTGGCTTTGACACCCATGCTTTAGTCACTAGACAACAGGACTTATAACACAGAAGCCTCCTAGAAAGCCTTTGAGCTTGCTGTGGGAATACCTTAAAAGCATGACACATTTCACTGCTCTGCCTCATCAGGTTAGAGCATGCCCTTTAATTGTGTGCCACTACATAATAGTTACAGAGCCACAGTAACCAGTACTTAGCTCCAACTGTGAGAACTTGTATTAAAGAGGAATATTAAAAATGACAGTAAGCATCAGGGTCCATTTAATAGTCGTGTTGTATTACAGGAATTCCAGGGAACAGAAAACTTTGGACAAAGGACATGACAGACACTGGCTTTATACAAATCAATAAAATGAATTTTGGTCAGTAAATGTTCAAGGATGCTTTCCATTTTAACTAATAATTGATTCATATGAATTACCAGTAGGACTGCAGCTTCTGGCCAAGATATAAAAATAGAACAATTTTTACTCTTTGGTTTAAAGTAATCAAATGATAAATAAAATATGTGAAAAAGATTAAAAATTATGGACATCAGCCAAATTCCTAAGAGACAGTAAGCAAAGGTGGTGGGTTCACATTACTTCAGCTTACTACCTTGAAAGCTTTTTGGTGAGCTGAGGCCAGGCAGACATGCTGAGCTGAGCAGATCAAGGTGGCTGGATTTGTGGGGCTGAATACTACAGTGACACTCAGGGAGAACAGCAGAGATCCACAGAGGGTCTCCCTTGAATACTCATCAGAACATATATCTGTCAAGATGGAAAAGAGACCAACCAAAAGGGTCCCTAAGCTCACACATGAACAACAACAACAAAGCCAGTTCCAATCAGACTGACCAACAGTTCACAATCCATCGGACTTTAGAAGAACACACAACAGCAGTGGGGCAAAAATCAAATCCAAAACCATGGTTCTCAACTAAGGCTAATTCCCCTTACTTCCCAGGGATAGTCAGCATCGCTTGGTGAGGGGATTTCCAGCACAGAGAAAGTGGACACCAGGGATTCTGGTAAAAATCCTATAATGCTCTCAGCTGTGGTTGTACATACCCATAACCTCATCACTCTGGAGACTAAGCCAAGATTATAGTGAGTTCAAGGCCTGAGTGGACCACACAGAGAGAATTTATCTGGGACTACATAGTGAGTGGGACCCTCTGTGCTGTCTAATTTTATCTAACTTGACACATGCTAGAGTCACCTGAGAGGAGGGAACCCCAATTGAGAAAATGCCTCTGTAAGACTGAGTTGTAGGCAAGCCTATAGAGCATCTTCCTTCCTATCTTCCTTCCTTCCTGCTGGGATTAAAGTCATGCACCACTATGCCCAGCCCATTTTGAATGGGGTCATCCCTGGGCTGGTAATCCTGGGGTTCTGAAAGAAAACAGACTGAGCAATCCTCCATGGACTCTGCATCATCTCCTGCCTCCAGGTTCCTGTCCTGACTTCCTCTAGTGATGAACAGTGATATGGAAAAGTAAGCCAAATAAACTCTTCCTCTCCCTCCCCCAAGTTGCTTTGGTTTTGGTCAGTGATAACTGTAAGATATTCTCCTTAAAAAAAAAAAAAAAAAAAGATCAAATCTAACTGGGAGCTGGGATTCTACAGTTTCAGGACAGGCCAAAGCTACAGAGAGAAACCTGTCTCAAAAAAAACAAAACAAAACAAAACAAAATGAAATGAAATCTTCCAGGAATGATGGTGGCATATGCATTAATCCTAGCACTTACCAACAGAGGCAAGTGGATCTCAGGGATTCAAGGTCAGCTTGGCCCATATAGCAAGTTCCTGTTGTAGGAATTTAGTAGAGTCTCTGTATCTGGGGTAGACATTAGGAAGGATAGTTTTCACTGTATCTAGGATAAACATTACAGTGAATAGTTGTTTTCTAGATGTACTCTGACCTTGAAGAATCATTGTGGAAAACAGTGATCGTTTCTGTGATTTGTAGAACTGTTTTTCTGAGGGGCATTGCAGCCTTCAAATGACTTTGGTCACAAGACACCTCTGGCACACCCGAGGCTCTTGGATTATTGTACACTATAACAGTACAAAATTAAAGGACTAAAGTCTCCTAATTTAGAGAGACATATAGATTAGATAGGACCTTGATGTGTAATAATCAATAAATATGCGTTGGTACAACTGTTCAGAGTTCAATTCATAAGAGGCTGGGCCTTACTGCTGCCACATGGGCCTTACATTTTCATCTTGGAGTGACCTCTTTCTTCAACCAACCCTTGCAACACAGAACACCCTGACAAGTTCCAGACCAGCCACAGTTACATAGAGAGACTGGTCTAGACCTGGTCTAGAAAACTATGGTGTACTGGAATCCTCTCTCAAGAAACAAAAGAATTGTTTGTACCCCCCCCCAAATGTCATTTTGTTGCAAATGAGAAAAATTACCTTAGGCCACACCTTTCTCTGGTCTAGCTTCACAAATCTTAAATGCATCTTCTAAGTTATAGGCTATGTAAGAATATAAAGGTATCTAGAATCCAAAAGCAAGACATTATAATCCATGGGGGTAAAAATAACAATGCAAATTGACCAGAACTGACAGAGATAACAGAACTAGAAGGTAAAAAGGAAATTTATATAATTATGACAGCTGTATTATACATTTCAACATGTTAAATAGAAACAGGCATGCTGGAAGAGGCCTATCACCCAGCACTGAGGAGGATGAGTCAGGAAGATCTAGAATTTGGGACAGTCTGAGGTTTATGATGAGTTCAGGGAGAACCCCACTGTATTGTGAGGCTGTGTCTTTTCCCTCAGGGACTAGATAAGGAGAGAATTAGGCCACTCCCTGAGAGAAGCCCGAACCCAGGTCTCTGGTGTGTCCTACTTTTCTTCCCAGGCCCACCTTGTTTGAAACCTATGTGGAAAATCTTTTAATAAAACCCCCACATCTGAGATTGGAGAGACAGCACCACAGTTAAGCACACTTGCAGCATTCACAG